ATTACTAAAATATTTACAATCCTTTTCAAATTTTATTGCTCGTAAAATCTTAGTAATGAAATTTGAAAATGCACGTTTGAAAAAATTATCAGTCCATTCGTATTAAATTTAATTACCATCGAAACATTATCCTTAATTGTACTACTTTAGAAAGATCCACTAAATTTACACGTAAAACTTAACAAATCCTTAGCATAACATGAATATCAATTTCCTTACTATAACTATAAATTAGATGTGAAATTTGTACAATGATCGGTGAGAAATTAAATCGTACTCTCGTTTCATTAAATAAATACATTAGTTTGCAATAACAGGTGTAAAACTATCGCAGATTAATCACCGTATAATACTCTACATCTATTCTCGTTTCTTAAACGCTAAGCAACAAGTCTGATTATCGGCTAAAACTAATACGTTTATTGTTAAAAATCTTCTGCCACGATTCGCGTAGAATCAAAAATTTTCTGATATTCAAATTTATTATATGTACACACACAATAGTATGGCAGTTTTAAAGCTATGGAACTTCTTCACACGCGTTCTCAGTTTCGATATTGTAGTAGTTATCTTATAAAAAAAAAAAAAAAAAACACGACTTATCGTATGACTTAATCCGTTTCATCTTTAACAACAACTTCACGATCCGTTTACTCTTACAGCATCTGTATTGATGTTCGTATACGTAACGATATTGTTACTATCCTCGACAACCGGCGTTTGCCTCAGTAAGTTCAACAATGCACTGTTTATCACCAATGGAATATTAGCTTTACCGTTTTGTAAATTCGAGTGAGTCCTTTGAATTTTCGGCAACGTGTTCTTCGTTACGTTACCGTCGTTTAACGTCGAGTCACCTCCGATCACGCTGTTCTTCAACGGAAGAACGTTCTGCGAGCTAATTAACGACGAACTAGGTCGAGTTGGCGGAGCTAAGCTAATATTCGAGCTTAAAGAACTAGTACTTCTACCTTCTAAACTTATTTCCGAACCTCGTCGTTCTGTCGCGTTTCTTTTATTCTTCCTTTGATCAGTCAACGACGTGAACGAGTCTCTCTTTAAAATCGCTTTAATAGTGGGATTAGTTAGTTTCGAACTGTCTAAAGTGTTACATTTGTCAGTCATGCTTGTGATCGATGCCCTCTTACGTTCCGGTAAATTCAAACTGGATATCGACGATCTTTTATCACACTTTTTCTCCGATTGTTCCTTCGTATCGCCCGGATTGTCCTTCTGCTCTTGCAACGTGCTCTCAGGATGCAAGTTATCCCTCTTCGCGTCTGAATTCGTACCGACTTTGTTCGTATTGGCTAAATTCTGATCGGAGATATGAATTGACCGAGGCACTTCGTATCCGTTCGTTGAATTCTCCCTCGGTATAATGTCCTCGTTATCTGCTAATAATTCTAGATACTTGGGTACTTCGCCCGATTGTAACGTAAGGGTCGCATTATGGGAATTCTGAAGGAACGGTTGCATATCACGGCTGCCTTCTGAGCTGCTCGATTTCCATGAATTCCCTGGGAAGATCAACCGATTGCATTATGCCTGATCTGACATTAATTATTCCATTACGAGATGGAGCGAGAAAGAAGAGAAACATCGATAGAGAAAGCAGCGTACGTAGATGATGATTTACAAAGAGAACCTACCTGAATTGTTATGATTTTGATTCTCGTCAGCAAAGTAAGCCATGTTAGACACGCCTGCAAGCATGAGCCATGCAATGATAAATATGTATTCGAGCAAATTTGTTAAAATTTATATATAATGGAACAACTTTATGAAATGTGTGATGCGTCACGTTCAATTCAAATTGCTTATTATCGGACTAATCTGTTGATCATGTTCGAGACAAACATGCTCGTTCTTACGACGTGTGAGGAATTTAATCGAATTTCAAGTACAGATATTCATGATCATGAGAATTCTATTAGATGATAAAGCAGCTATTAGCTCACAGATTTAGAGATTCGACATCGTCGGGAGAGACTATGAAAATCTTACAAGCCAAGATGTGTGTTGCTTAATTGACGATTAATTTGATACGTTTAAAGAAGAAAAAATAAAAACAAAGAAACATGTAGATTCGTGTTTCATGCCAAAGGTGTTCACGTTAAGGGAAAGTTTCAGGTGTGATCCAAACTTACCCCTTCTAGCTAAGTAATGACCAGCGTGAACTGGACTTAACGGAGCATCCTCTATAGTACTTCGAAGACTAACTATATGTTCAAGACAGGCTTTAAAGCTTGGCCTGGCATCAGCTGCACTCCAACAACGCAACATCAGCTGATGTAAACCAGGTGGACAATTCATTGGTTTGGGCAACCTTCCACCTGCTCGCACGTGGTGTAATACCTCGAGATTAGTTCTGGCAGGATACGGTTGCTGTCCCAACGACGTAATTTCCCACATTAATACACCGAACGCCCAAACATCGCTCTGCGAGGTGAACACGCCATCCACTAAGGATTCAGGCGCCATCCATCGAACGGGAAGTAATCCTTCTCCCTCCTGTAAGAAAGAAAATAAATTGACAATTTTTTGGAACTTCGTAAGAAGGATGGAAATTACAGAAGTGCGAAGAATAGTTACTTTTCGGTAGTAATCATTCTTGTATATATCTCTGGCGAGTCCAAAATCACCAATCTTAACAACACGATTCTCTCGATCTCTGGCAGATACCAAACAATTTCTGCACGCGAGATCTCTATGTACAAAATGAAGCTCCTCCAAGTAACGACACCCTCTTGCTACGTCTTCGCACATAGCCAATAAATCTTGGAGACGCAGAGCATGTAAATCGGACGTCTGCAACGATCGACTTGCCCTTAAATAACTTAATAAATCACCAGCTTCCATCAATTCCAACACTAACAACGGCGGATCGGTGTCTAAGCAAACACCTAGAAGTCTGAGCACATGCTTGTGTCGAAAATGACTCATGAGCCTAGCTTCCTGAAGGAACTCTGTCTTCTCCTGAGCCGAGGCTCCTTTTCGAAGCGTTTTAATCGCGACTGGCGTGACTCCTGGTCTCTCCAAGTCTTTCGCGTTCCCTTGGAATACCTGAAGAATTGTCGAATATAAAAAGAAACTTAATATATAGTCTCATAATTTTGTAGATTATTTTTATTCGTATTATTCACCTCTCCAAAGGCTCCACTACCCAAAAACTTCGCTAACGTGATCTGTTCCCTTCTGATTTTAGGAAGCGTAGAATCGTCTGGATCGTTTTGCAAAGTAGACGCGTATAACGCGTTGGACTGAACGAAATTCCCGCGTGGTATCTCCCGAAGGGTCGCCAATTCAACGTCGCTCACTAACGGAGGTAAAACCGCCTTCTTGTCTTCCTTGCGTTGCCGGTACACTGCTGAATTACAAAAGCTTATCTTTTATATGCTTATTAATTTACGCATTTTAAGAGTAGATTTATTCAAGTAAACGTTACTTTGAACATCAAATAACATATATTTTATTCGTAATTACGTTACACTTACGGCAAAGAAAATAACAGAAACAAATTAGCATGATGGTGATAACAGGGACGCTAAGTCCCAACACCAAACCAAGATGCTGTTGCGCTGCTAATATCCCTCCGGTAGTTTCCGTCAGATCGATGATCGGGCTGGATCTGCTCCAGCCACCAAATCCGTACGCGTTTCTAGCTTTAACTCGAAACCGATACTTGTCGTCCATGTCCCCCGTGATTATCCAATAGTTGTCTGTCCCGTTGTAGAACAGCTTCCAACTTGCGTTCTCGCTAGAGTCTATTTGCTCGTTAATTTCGTTGATCTTCATCCCCTCAACTCGATACAGCGTAATTTGCGAACCGTGAGCTTGCGCTGGTTCCCAGTTTAATTGGTACACGGAATTACGGAGCTTGGTTACCGTAGGCATCCCTGGAGCACTTGGTACATCACCTATTTTACGAATAAATTAGAAGAACAAATTTTCATGACTTGGAGAAAAAGAAATTAAAAATATCATTAACGATCAATTTACCCAGCGTTTGAAACGTGAATCTCCCATCCGTAGGCCACACAAAGTCTAGTTTGTAATTAGGATACCTCAGAATCAGACGGAATTTATACAAAGTACGTGGTTGCAATTTTTTTATAAAATACGTCAATTTTTCATTGACCATCTTAGAATCGTTCGCCACTTGCCAGTTCTCCACAGCGACGTCTTTGTACTCTAAAGTGTATCTAATGGTTAAATTGATCGTCGGTACCCAGGTGACGTTCAAACCGTTCACACTGACTCCAGTTAACGTTAGATTATTCGGTTCTGGGTACATCTTGACCACTTGACCAGGACTCTCGCTGTAGACGTCGTTAACGTGAGCAGGATAGGCTCTGACGAACACCAAATACTCTTGGTCAGGTAGCCATGGCTCCAACATGGTGAAGAATCTTCCATCCGTGGTGCGTTCGGTGCCTTTTATAAATTGTTCTCCCTTCTGTCGTGCTCCGTTTATCAATCGAACCAGTCTCCAGTGCACCTCGTATCGTACCGCAGCAGCGTTCAATATTTTCGGTGGCATCCAATAGACGACAGCCAGAGTTGGCGTCAGAGCTTCAACAGTGACGTTCTCTGGAGCTGTCGGAGCACCTGCTTCGGTCCTCAGTACAACGCCAGATCCGAACTCTAAACTCATCGACTCCAAGTCGGCGTAATAATTACTCAAAGCTAATTTTAATCTGTACTTCGTGAAAGGTTTCAGATCCTTTATCTCGTATTCCTCTTCGTACGTCTGGAACTTCGTTCTGTCGCTGTCTTCGCACATGTTAGGATCGTTCTCCAGACATTGAGACACGTAGATCGTGTAGAGTGTCGTAGGTAGGCTGTACGTTTCGCAACCAAATTGAGGAACAGGCTGAGGAAGTCTCACAGTAATACTGTTCGCTGTTTTCTTCACTTCCTCCACGTTGTAGGACACTTGATGAGGAATCAGGCAGTTAGTGATGGGATAGGTTTGCAGCGATTTTCCAAGGGCTTTGATACTTCGTACAGACGGCAGATAGAAGTGTTTAATTTCACCATCGTCCGGGTATTTTTTATTTACGAAATAAATCTGATCTTCGGCTATATTCGACCAGTAAATGTTCATCTTGTCGACTGTCAACGACGTCGGTGGCAGTCCTTTATTGAAACCCGCGCTTACTATTAAACTGCACGCACAGCCATCGATATCGGCGATGTTCAAATGGCCTTCCATAGAGATCCAATACATGACTGGTTTTTGGTAATTGGTACTGTCGATCGTCATCACCGGAATCACGGATGGTCTGTATGGACAGGAACAGTCGTCTATATGGTTAAAAAATGGTTGAATGGCTCTTCCGTTTAAATCTGACTGCATTATTATTCCGCCGTCCTTTTTCGTCAATTCTATCCAATACAATGACCTGAAAAATAATAAAATCATATTAATGGACAAATTTGAAAAAAAAACCTTAAAAAGTCTATCGAAAATTTATGAATATTGTTCATATTATCATAATAGGTTTGTGCAATTTTTCTTAAATAATATTTTTCTTTGTCAACGATCCTTGGAAAAATCAGGACCTTTTTCCTGCGAATTCTCTCAACATTTTCTAATGCAAGGTATCTCGAGAAAAATGAATAATTACCCTGTAGACGGTAGTATATCCAGATTCACGATACGTCTGCTACTCGCAATGATATTTTCGTACTTAAGAATTCCATCATGCCACATGGTCAAGTCCAATTTCATCACACGGCCACCATTTTCACGGTAGCTGGACTCAGACCAGTAAAGGTGTCTCGCCACCCAATCGATAGTGATACTAAGCGCACTATTATTCAAAGTCAACATTTTCGTAGCGTTCGCTCCGTTTAAATCCGACGTTACCAATTCCTGCATCTCGTTGATCCAATAAATTTTGTTCTCCGCGGCCATGTACGTCACTTCGACCGCTATGTGCCGGGTGATCGTGTAATTCACCTCCTGATCCAAATCGGATATCCTAACCGCATCCATTGTGGCGACCAGTAATTGCGGCACTGGATTTTCGTATATCGTCGAAACGTTGATGAGATCTGTGTACGGTCCTGCGCCAATTTCCGTGTGAGCGCTAACTTGAAAGTAGTACGTTGTGTTTGGTAGGAGATCCTGAACAGTGTGCTCTAGTAACGTCGACGGGATGAGAGATTTATGATCGCAGAATTGAATCGGCACGTGGTCCTCTTTAAACCAACACATCACCGTGTATCCTGTGATCAGACCGTTGGTGAACTCTGGTTGATCCCATCTGTAACCAAACCATAATCGATTGTTCATGAATTAAACAAATTTTAGGATCGAAAGATTTACAGAATTTTTTCACATGTTTTTTATGTACATTCTGTGACTCTTGTTTAATTTTTATCGTGTAATATTCACCTAAATATTGCGAATATGTCGACGTTCTCGCTTAGAGGTTCTTTATGGAACTCTATAAAAGCCCTGGAATTCGTTGGTTGACTCGGAATACTTTGTGGAGACCTGAGAATCTTTCTAGTATGATGCGCCGTTTCCCAATAGGTAAACGCTTTTACAGTTACCTCCAAAACCGAATAGGGTAAAATTTGTTCGGAATTATTGTAGGGCATCGAGGTTTCCGTAGTGATTTCTGGGTTCGAATTAGTGTTAATATAATCGGCGAATTTCACTTCGTAAAATACGGTCCCGTAGTTGATATTCTCTACTGGGTCCCAGGATATGTTGAAGTTCCTCCAAGTCCCTTCGACTCTAATACTGCTATAGTTAACCGCGTTTGGCAATACCACCACGGTCTCCGATGATAAATTTTTTGGATACTGGTGAAGAGCTGGATCCATTATTGCCACCATGTGAAGGCCCGATAGAGTGATACCATTTATTATAGCCGTGTTTTGCCCGGATAGATCGCCTATCACTGCGTTTCTGTCGTCTTGAAGCCACAGAAGGTGCTCTGAAAAATAGCACAAAGGACCTTGCATGTTTGGGTGTTGAAGAGCTGAGACCTGGAACAGAAATTTAAAAAAAAACCATAAAAATTAACAAAAGAAATGAAGAAAAAATTAGAAGATGACAATGACCTTCTCAGGCATGATTTTATGAGTCATCGGGATCTTTTCAGACGTTGGCGCCCGATAGACGATGGATCCACTCTCGTAACTTCGAACGATCCAGTAAACGTATCTGTTCTCCGTGTCCAATGTTAACCCCATCACTTGTTTCCCATTGAATATCTCATCCGAATGGTAATATCTTCTATCTTGTCCGTTTAAACGAGCTACTTCGACAGCGTGGCCTGTGGACCAATACAGGTACGCCTCCAAAGAGTCGATCATTAGTTCCTTAACGATGGCCAGAATCGACATTGGTTCTTGTTGAGATCCGTTTAAATTCGCTCTCGTAATCTAAAGAAAATATATCCACGTAGATCGAGATACTTGAGCCAACAATTAGACCAATTGTCACTTACAATTTGCTGCTTAGGATTAGCCCAGTACAGTTTCTTCGATATCCAATCAACAGCGACGCTCCCGACAGAATGAATGTTCATCTTCATCTTCTGATGATTCGTGATATTGTATCGATATAACGCAGAATTATTCCCCACGATATACAGGATATCCTTGTACCAACTAACGTCGACGATATGGTAATCGGTCTCCGGTTCCTTCAAACTCGCTTTGTATATCAAAGTGTCGATATTCTCTCCCGTCACGTCGCTCCTTAGCAGACCTTCGTTCGCGGACCACAGAATAGACGCGTGTGATCCGTCCCTAAAAAATGAACAGCCCAAGATACAAATAATTCTTCTTTTTTAAAAGAAAGTCACAATTTAACGATGAATTACCTCAAAGTTCGACCTCTGAACTCCGTGGACCAAGGTCCTCTGCCAGCGCTGGTGTAAGCAGCCGCTTTGATCGAGTACTCCGATTTCTCCCTTAGATTGTGCACAGTGTGAGACGAGCCAGCGATATCTTTCTGATGAATCGTCTCCCCTGTAGACTCGTCTTTAATCTCCAACTCGTAGGACCAATTCTGCCAGGCGCCTTTTCCTTGACCGCCCAACAGATGAGGCGCCTGCCAGGAGACTTTGGCCCTCTCCACACCTAGAACCGCTTGTACACCCGTAGGAGGATTCACCGGGACAGGAACAGGCTGGCTAGCGTCCATAAGTACATTGACACTGACAAATGAACCGTTCGATCTGAAAGAAACGCTTCTATTCAAGCATCTGTATCGACGTCCACGTTCCACGAATAAGAATGAACACTCTCACCTATCGGGATAAGCATTGTGGAAATATCTGTTCTGTCCTGAATGATATCCTTCGATCAATACCTCCTCTCCGTTCGTCCAATAAAACAAACCGTTCGCCATAGCCAGGGAAACGACGTTTTTGAATTTCGGTTGCTGCGTGTTCGAACGGAGATCCAAGACCTCGCGACCGTCCAGAGAAACCGATATCACGGTGTTCTGAATGTGGTGAGGTACCAAGAGACGGAAGTTCGTGTGGTCCACGGTGAACGCTCCTAAGTGAGCATCTTCCAGGATTAAATATGGCTGAACCTGTGATGGAATAGGAATGTTAAGTGGATAGGACAGAGTTTTTTTAATTAAAGTACTGAATGATTTTCTCTTCAAAATTCTCTCTCTGATGCACTCTGTAAGAGTTTCTTAAATATTCCTCACATACACTCTCTACATCATGAATATTGGTAAAATACACCTAATCAAATATTCACGTTTCTACTTTACGATGAAAGGACATAAAAGTCACTCTTGTGCATACCGACACTTTCTCCAGTAAGAGAAATCATGTACATAATTAACTGAGTGTGTTTTACCTATTCTCATTCAACATATTCCACTGTGAACTTTCTTCGAAGCACAAAGCAACACCGTAACTAGCTGTGCATTATTCGACACGTACCTCGTGTTTTACTCCGTTACTTATGTCAGCCAGATCCAATCGGTACAAACCGCCCCTGGTGACCCAGAACAAGTATCCATTGTATGGATCCACCTCGATATGAGTGGGTCGCGTTAAGAAACCAGCCACCGCCACCGTCAGTCCCCTTCCGTCTAGATTACATCTAGCTATCTGCCAAACCGTCGTCGCATGCTTCACCTCGCCGAGAATGTACAGATGAAGATTCAGCCAATCGACCGACAAGCTCAACGGTTTGAAGTTCGCTTGGCTAGGGCTCAGGATCACCATAGGTTTCGTGCGTTTCGTGATCGACGTTCTGTACACGTATCCCAGGGAATCGGAAATGAAGAGCTGAGCGGAAGCGACGTGAATCGCGACACCTTTGATTATGCTCGTGTTCTCGTAAACCACGCTAGGATCGTCCAACATGTCCGCGTCCTGCTTCATAACAACGTGCTGCCCACCGAGAATTAAAATTGGTTGTTGCGTGTCTTTCACTGGAATTTCACGAATCTCGTTAAATCACTCTTTCTCTCTCTGTTTGGCAAAAAAGAAAAAGTTCTCGGTATGTTAATTGATTTTTTTAATAGTGAATCGTACCAGCCGGTTCTGGAGTAGTCACGACATGAGTTACAGCAGGAGGACCCTCGCCAACTCCGTTCCTCATGGTCACGCTAATGGAGTAATTTTTATTCGGCTCGAGATTTTGAAACATGTAGTGATCCGTGTTCTCCGAGGCTGCTATATCCTGTGTGATCGATTGTAAAGCGTGTTAAACGGGCTACAGAGGTGCCTGTCCCTTTCGATCCCTCGCTAGTTAATCGGTAAGCGAATAGGATAAGAAACGCCATGCCAGAAACGTGTTTCGTGAGAGATCTGGTTCTTACAAGTTAACAAGCTTGTGTTAAGGGGATCAAAAGCGAAACGATTAATAGAGACTTGCGATTGTATAGTGTAAATTAATGTAAACCAATAAGCGTTATTTTTTTAAAGCATCTTATTCGATAGAAATCAAGAGTGCTGTTATGATCAATATCAGCAAGCAGAATCACTGTTTAACCCTTTTAATCCCACGGGTCGATTTGGGCCAATGCATCGATATAGCTTCTTAGCTACAAAAGATTTTTGGTCGCTGCGAAAGTATCGTTGAAATATCTCGAAAAATGTGGCGAATTGAAATTTTTTACATTCTTCTATTTCTTCTGTGGTATTTTTGTGGTACGTGTCTATTTGAAAGTAAAACTATCGCGAGTCAAATTTGAGAGTAAAAGGGTTAACATCGACTAAACAAACATCGTGCAATTGCCCCAGAACAACATGCTCGTGTCTCTACCATTTTTACCTAGCAATAAACATTCTCTCTGAGGGAGGGTAGGCAATCTTGTAGAACCAGTTGCTACTTTTCATACACAGAGTGTTGTCTGCTACAACAGTAAGAAAGAACATGAAAGCGCGATCGGCTTTACGTCGACGAACAGATCGACGAATGCTGCTAAACAATGACTATTATAGCTTGCGTAGAACAGCTGAGACATCTGTTTGCTTAGAACGATGCGTCTCGAAGATGTGGAGAGGGAAAATTGAAAAAGAAAAAAACAACAGAACTATCGCGCTAAAGTGAGAGAAAGAGAGAGAGAGAGAGAGGAGCAAATGGATGAAAACGTCGAGAGTATCGTTCGTATTATTGAAGTTCTGGCGTGGCGTATACCTTAAGCTGGGAGTGGTCAGCCCCTTGCAGACGCAGGACATAAGACAAAAGTGGCCCATTCGGAAAAGGACCCGGTTCCCAAGACACAGAGGCGCGGCAGCTGTCTACCGCCACCGCTCTTACAATTACCGGTGCTGAGGTTGGTAAACCGGCCGCCAGCGTTCTTATCACCACGCTCGGAGCGGAGACGATAGGCTCGGGATTGTGTTGCGACGATTTCAGAAGCAACGCTACGCGAAACTGTAATTAAACAACGGAAACGTGGAGTGCGTGTCGAAGATATTGCAACAATTTCTATGGTACACTCCGGTTCACAAGTATTAGGACAATTGCTGAACGTGAAGCAATGTTATTTAACTTGGAATCTCGTCGTATAACGAGTACACACGTTTCTTCTGATATATGGTACAAAATCTGGCGAAGAAATGTAATTTAACCCTTTAACTGGAAATCACTCGTCTCAGAGACGAGTTCGAATTTTTATTTCACGAATGTGGAGAATTTAGCGTTTGAGTAGCTAAAGAAATCCTAGTTTTTTATTTAACAGAGATTTAATAAATTAAATTACTAAGGTAGTCTGAGGGACTAAACGGATATATGTAGTTAAGGGTTAAATCATGTAACAGTTTCTGTACGAACATAACGAGTGTCCTAATACTTATGAATGGCAGTGTGTATTGAGAAATATTACCACCTTGAATGAGAAAAAAAAAATTTCTTTTATAAAAAGTTACTTGGCGTAAAGAGAATTGTATGGTTAACTTTTAGTTTAAAAAATTTGCATCTTACTTCAAGGGGATAATTTTTATTAGGCTTCACGGTATAACAGGAAACTTACCCTGTATTTCGTGTAAGGCTGCAGATTTTCGACCAGAATCTGATCGTCTTCCCCCCACGATTGATTTCTACAATATTGCCAAGTTTCAGCCAGCTCCTCGTACCTCCATTGCACTAAGTACGATATGCCTCCGCCTCGTCTTTCGATGTCTATTCCCTTCCATTCGAGCCGCAGAGAAGTTGCGGTCAAAGAGTCCGCTACCAGCGCCGGTGCCGGAGGAATACCTATTTCCGCTGGAATAATCGATACAAAAATTACATCCATGTACAATCACACGAAGTTACGAAAGTATCAATCGGTCATGTTCGTCACGTGTGAAATCGACGACAAAAGTCGATCGCGTTAATCGGGTTGCGAGTGCGATGTTCCCTCCATCGCCATAACCGCGCTGTTTATCGCGCAAACTGTCCATCAAGACTCTTCTGTACATAATAAGTCAAATGACGAATTATTTCTAACTCCGTGATCTCATGTAACAACAACGAAATGAGTATAGAACGACAACGAGCCTTCATGGAGTACGAGAAACTGTTAGACGATCTAAGGTTGGCGTTTTTCGAAAGGTGGAAGATCAACAGAACAAACAGCGTCAGTGAGAGCGACTTCGAACGATTCAGAACGATCGGAACCGGTGCGTTCGGTCGTGTTATACTCGTGAAATACAAACCGACCGCCACGTACTACGCGATGAAGATCTTGGAGAAAGCGAAAATCGTGAAGATGAAGCAGATCGATCACACGTACAACGAGAAGAAGATACTACAGTGCGTGAGGTTTCCATTCGTCGTCTACATGGAGTTCTGTTTCAAAGATAACTCGTACGTTTACATGGTGCTACCTTATATCAACGGCGGCGAGATGTTCACTCATCTGAGACGAATGGGGAAATTCGACGAGTCTCTGGCAAGATTCTACGCTGCTCAGGTGGTTCTAGCCTTAGAGTACCTCCACCATTGCAGCCTGGTGTACAGAGACTTGAAGCCGGAGAATATTTTAATTCAAAACACCGGCTACATCCGTATGACGGACTTCGGATTCTGCAAAATGATCGACGGAAGAACGTGGACACTGTGCGGCACACCTGAGTACATCGCGCCGGAGGTGATTTTGTCTAAAGGCTACGGTAAATCCGTGGACTGGTGGAGTTTCGGTGTTTTGATTTACGAGATGAACGCCGGTTATCCGCCGTTTTATTCGCGGGACCCGATGAAGATATACGAGAAGATCGTCTCGGGAAGATATAAATTCGCTCATCATTTCGGCGAAGAATTGAGAGATATTCTGAGGAACATATTGCAAGTGGATCTAACTAGGCGATACGGGAATCTGAAGGGTGGTACGATGGACATCAAAGGACACAGGTGGTTCCAGTCGACCGATTGGAATCAGATTTATCATCAGAAGATACAGCCAAGCTTCATACCGAAATGCTCGTCGCCGGATGACACCAGTAATTTCGACGTGTACGAGGAGGAGTCGCGGAAAATAGACGCGACTGATCGTTACGCGAAGGAATTTGCGAACTTCTAAGGAGAACCGAGAGTCGAATTTGAGGATACCAAGTGACACACGCTGTTAGAGAAGCATATCACGCAAGAGAAAAATAGAAAAGAGAAGCGTTCGATAGTGTACAAGTGCACCATTTACCTTTCAGCTGCTGAAAGTAACGATTCAAAGCGTCGTGACAGCCCAGAACACAGTACAGTTCTTTGGGCGGCAGCAACTCTTGCGTTCCATTCTACAAAACAATAAAACCGACGTTAAATTCGATGAAAAAAAAAGAAAGAAGGAAAGAAAATGGTCACTCTCAGTAGAATGAATAATAACGTTTAACATTAGGATAAGTAAATAATACTGTTTTAATGTACTAACGCAGACAGCTTGACAGCTCGTGTCGAGTGCTCGTTGCCACGCTCCACAGCCTTTTGTGCACTGAAACAGACGCAAAACGCGCGTATCAGAACTGCGTTACACAATGTTTGTTACGTGCTGGATAGTTTCGGGTTGTATAAAATGTATTACAGTTGGACAAGTTTGTAAACTTACGATTTAGCAATTTGTAGAATGTTCGTCATTACAAATAGCTCTGACAAACAAACATCGACTATGTTTCATTTTAATTCGCTCCTGGGTTTCTACCTACACTAACGCTCGCAAGTATCTGCATATTCGTTTATGTACAGCTGATGGAAGCGATATAGCGAGGTCGTGAATTAAAGCATTAAGCGGTGACACCGATTGATAGCCGCGCCCAGGGTCGTCTGTCATCTCTGAATTGATATTTAAAATTTCTCCTTGCAATCATTCGTTTAAACCAAAATTATTTCAAAATTAAGTCGAAATGAACCTACAACTGTCGGATAAATTTTTTAAATAGGCCGTAATGGAAGAAGCAGTTCTAAATTCACTTGGAACGACCCTGAGCGAGTGTTGAGCTCTTTATCTCCCTCGAATTGCTGTTTTGGCGCTCGAATAACGCGCACTTTGACGCCTGACGGATTTTACGACCTAACTCTATCGCTTCCGCCGGCTGTACTATCCTATTTCCTCCGTTCCAAGTGCATACTCGTTAGCGTGAAAATTAAAAAAAAAAAATTAGTCGTTCGTTTACAAAGAAGCGTACTTTCAGATGTTTCTCGTATCTCTGCCGCAAGTCTTTATCAGTGGTATAGCGTATCTGAACGAATTTAAGCGAATAATAGCCCCCGGTTCTCGCTTAATCGACTTCTCGATTCGGTTCATGAATGGCGCACGATCGAATCGAGACGATGAAACATGATGAGAAACGAGGCATGCTGCATCATTTTGGCATTGAAGTAACTGGAACGTCTACGAGGCGAAACTGTCTTCGAAAGATGGACGAGAACGTACGAGGCACGTGCCTCAAGTAACGCCCACGTTCATAATACGGCCGGTCGGTTCGTGCCGAGCATGGATTTGCGAACCGAAGTTTAACGCATTAACTTTCTGCACGAGAGGATGTGGGCATTTGTCGGCGACAACAAGCCAGTCGAAGAAGAAGAAGAAGAAGACGACGGAAGAATGAAGGAAGAAAACGAGCAAATGACATTGGCGTGTTTGTTTTCGATGGAAATCGCGATCGTTCGCAGTTATACGGAACTTTTTTTCACTCCAACTCGCTGATACGTTCCACAGCTCTAGCCTTTTTTCACTGACCGATAAAGCTGCCGTAAGATCAGCAATGTTATCTTCTCAGAAAATTGCGTTACTGCTTCGACTTGGTTATTAACCCGTTCTCTGGTGATCTTACTTAATAATAAATCACGTTTCGACTGTTTCATTGTTGCACTTGGACAAAGAAGATTTATTGAAAAAAATAAAAAATACCGGAGATAAACAGAAAAATTAAGTAGTTAAATGAACAGTTAACGGAAGATCCCTCGTGGGGAGGATCTTTTCTTGGAGAACATCTTGAAAGAAAGTCTGCTCGGCGAGAAACGTAAATACACAAAAGTGATTTGGCGTGTTTTAAAGAGCTCAAGGACTTCGGGAAGAGTTTGTTACTATAATACAGAGTTCTGTCTGGAAGCTTCCATTCCAGTCATCTGTAACTCGTTCCTACATTTCAAGTATCGTCCTCCGGTGTTCCAGATGAATCTGTGTTTTTCCAACCGCGTTTCCTGTTCCAATTTCCAATTTCACCCGGTGATACGTGTAATTAAGGTTTAATCTGATTCTCGGCCAGGATCGACAGCCTCGTTAGGAATGTTCGCGTAACTGCATAGTAAAATCGCTATTTCAACGTCGTATCCCGAGACACAAGAGAGCCATTTACCAATTGTCAGGCTGATCGACACTCTGCCGCGTTCGAGAGGCGCCGCACATGAATGATACTCCTCTCGACGTTTTAGAATAATAAGCTCACTATGGAATGCTTAATTCGACAAGATTACCAGTGCACCTGCATCAACTATGCAACTCTAAGCTTTAGAATAAACGTCTCTCTTACGACGATGCGTAATTTCTTTCTCACTTGAGAACACGTGAAAGTGTTCGCTAACCAGCGAATGGTTCTATTTCGTTAATTTTCCATTGATACGTCTAGAGTGAAATTATAACTATATAGAATAACGTTGAACGCGATACGTGGTTGTTTGGTAAATAATTTGATAATAATACACTGTTTTGATGCATCTCAACTGGAAGATCTACAAAAGAAAAAAGGGAGACAGCAGTTTAGATCTTGTCTCAGCTGAATAATTATTGTATACGTATAGGCGCATTTACGGTGGTATTCGGAGGGTATCAGATAGGTCAGCTGGTGTGAAAAGTGTAGAAGGAAAGGGACCTCCGTCGCTAGATAAATACGTTATTAATAAACATTTGATGGCGGTTCGATTTCACGACTTTGAAACGATTCGGAATACGCGCGACATCGATACGACACGAGTGGGACGCGATTATTACAACGGATTAACCTATCGAACGCGGAACTTTTCTCAGCTTTTAAAAATACCACGCGTTCCCTTATCGTTCGAGAGAAAGAAAGTAAACATGTAAAAATAAAGATACGGAAGGAGAGAAAATTCGTGGCTCGCGTAAGAAGAGACATTCGAGAGCGAGAGCATTTATCGTGACAATACGCGATAGTTTAAAGCAGACACCATAACGACCCCATAGAGACGACGAGAAATTTTCAACGTCTTAATTAATCATTTTCCTCGTGACATGTCATTGCTTCGTGCCCATATCAAACACGATCTCCCCTGTTTTTCAATTATAGCAGTTCGCACGAAACGCAGCGTTTACTTCGGTGGCTCGTCTCTCCCTTCTGTTGACGCCACGTTTCAAATCCACGGCACTCGAATTCGACTCGGTATCTTTTAAACGATCGTAACTTTCTCGATTTCGTGTAATAGGGGTTGACAAAACTATCAGACGGTGGAAAACAGCTGAAGCACAGCGGCTCGACGCTGCGCCCGCTAATTTCTCACTTCCTCATTAAAACCTCAACACACATTACGCCCCAGTCTGGCCCTCGCTCTACTCCGGCCTCCCCGTAGATCGTAGATCTTCATCCTACCACGGATCTATCCTCCTCGTTTCGCTCGAACCCCGTCCACTGATTGTGCTTCAACGACAGAAGACGTGAACGATGAGATGTCTCGAAGGGGCAACGTGTCTTCCATCGTTAATTTTCTGATTTAGAAAGATCGAGAGAGAGAGAGAGAGAGGAAAGGTAGCTTTGGTATTCAGACGGTCCGAGGACCGTCAAGTTTGCCTGTTTATTTAATAAACATGCTTACGGAGAGGACGATGTTAAAAGTTTACAGAAACCACGGAAGAGAGAGAGAGTAGCTTCTGGTAGCCAAAGTCAAGTAGCTGCATTTGTCACGCAGATCCTCGGTGCTGGTGGTCCGCCACTTCACAAACACACTGGAACCAGTGTAAGTTAGGCTGTTAGATTTGCTTTCGTCAGAGAAGCTTAACATACTTTTCCCTTGCTCGTGTATACACTTGAGTCTATTGAAGTGTACTGTTGCCTCGGAGATAGAATATCTTGTATTTTGTACGTCGTATCTTTGAAAATCCTGTATATACACGATGTACGAAATACAAAGGAATTTCACGGGTATCGATTCATCGCTATCGAGCCGTGAAATTACCGGAAGGAGCATCAAAGCCGAGCCAGACACGTGTATACGTAGCCGCACGATGAAAATCACACGACAAAAATTCATATAATGCTTATGTACACATCGCGGATTCGTCGTTTCCTTTTTTCAAAATTGCTCAAGCTGAGCACCGAGTAACGCTCGCGACAGTTTAGCGACCTAACATGTACAACTAGTAAAACCATCGTATTAACGGAGGAAGGCAATTAGGGTTGCGTTTAGCAAAAAGTAGAGCATCTTCCTTTTGAATCGTGTCGAGCCGCGAGCCTAACCGTTACTCGTGCGCGTTACTGGAACGTACGAACCGTGAAACGAGGCGAGGGAGGAAATGATTTCGAGCGCGATTCACGTTATAACGACTCGTGTGTGTGGTATTCGAGGCTTTTCAACCGGCACGCAACCTCGTGCCGTCGAGTTATTTTGTAAAAGTGCACGCGATCGGCCACGTGAATGCGACATCCTCGCGATGGCCGCGCATAGGAAGAAGGGACCGTGGACTTAACGACCGAGCTCCTCCTTTTTTTTCGGAGGCACGCGATAATTAAGTGTGTCGCAGCTCCTTTTGTCCTTTTCGTCGCATTAATTGCGGTTCTCGTTTCCTACCCTGGAGACACGCGTTGCTGGATATCCTTCCGGCCACGACGGGGGTCCTTTCTCGGTCTCTTCCTCCATCCCCCTCCACACTTGATCGTTTT